GATTCATCGCGCCTTTCGGTCCCGTGGTGAGTCGCTGGTGCTCGTCTGCTACTTGCTTTGCCCCGGCCGTGCTGATGTTCACCGGAACGGCGTTGCCTTACTTGCAGGGTGCCCGCCGTCGTGGTCTGAGCCCGCTGCGATGTCCCGGTGCGTGTCTCCGCTCTGCACTTCGCGTTCGCTCATAGGTGAGTGTCGGCTCGTTATTCTGGGATGGGGAGGCCTGGGGTGGTCGGCGTGGGTCGCCGGTGCCAGCCCCGTCGCGCCGGTGTGCGCGGGTGGCTACGGGGGTGTCGCCAGTGAGAGGACAAGTAGTTCGGAGGGCGTATATGTAAAGCTATAGACTAGCGAAATAATACCATAGAGCTTGTAGCAAATACCGAATCATTCAGGGGTGCCCGTGCATAATTGCCTTCGCACGCCGGCTTTCCCCTGTCGCGGGCCGCTGGCCGGTTGGGCCGCGCCTCTGCGTGGGCCGCGCGGTGGTCCGCTGATGCGCGCGGGTGGGAAAGTGGGATGGGCCGAACCAGCGCGTGTTGGGCCGCGGGGCCAGGATTCGTTTTCTTCATTTTCAGTAAATTTGAATTGTTTATTCATTTTGGTTATGAACTGAACTTCGATAATTCATAGTAAATTGCGTAGTTGTGCAAAAATAGTGAAACAAAGTTTGTTAGGTTCACAAAAATACTGTCTATCTGTTAGTGTAGTTAGTTCACAGTTAGCTGTTATGATGATAGGCTCATAAAATCTAAGTAGAAAGCTTAGCGTTATATCGATCAATAATTGTAGGAATTATTGTGGCAAATCGGTGATAGCTATCGGCATGAAAATTGTACAGTAGGTTCCCTAGGTCATTATGTACTTGCTGTAAAATTGGTAGCCTTAGAACGAGTTGCTTAATAGCGTAGTTACTATCCTTGCTTTATTGTATATATCGTAAATTGGCATTAGGAGTAGGAATATCTGTAGTTGCTATAAGAATGTATGTCACGTTCATACTTGTTAGTGGTGGTGGTACGTTGCTTAGCCTTAGTGGGTAGACCTCACTTAGTAGTTTAATAGATGTACTTTTAGGTTAAGAGTTGATGTTGTCGTCTTATTAAACATTGCATCATCATTTCATGTAGATCACGAACTGGTAGACTTCGTACCCGTCGGCGAGCCAGAGTACGACGAGGTGATCGAGGAGTACGAGGAGGAGCTCTTCGCATAGGAGGAAGCCCAGGAGCCTGTTGGTACTGACCCTGCTGACCCAGCGCCTGCCCAAGGCAAGCCCCAGTGCATAACCCATATTTTTATGATCACTGAATATATATATATGATGTGCATTTAAGTTACAGGCATTTTATGGAAACTACATGCATAAATATATCTACCCATGAGTCCTACTAGTACAGGTCGAGTAGCTGCTATGCTCAGGATATAGGTAGCGTGAGTAACCTGCCGTTACTCGCAAATAGGTAATTAAATATGATCACTCATGATAAAATGTTGGAAAGGAAATGGTGACCGAGCTAGGATATGGATTGGGTACTGGTGGGTGTGAGGGGTTGTGTCCTGCGGCCAACAGGGCATAGCTCGGTTACACTTTTTCCCTGTCTGTGTCGATTAAGGACCGGTCGTTGCATATGACTCTAGGCAAGTCACAGATTATTGTCCCGAGCGCATACTTGGGTATGGGCGCAGGGAAGGCTTGCCACTCTCTTGTCGCGGATCCGGCTCTTTCCGGACCGACTGATAGAAAGAGGAGGTGGTGGAGGTCCTTTCACCGCACTGAGTCCGGGACTCAGGGGCGGGGGCTTGGAGTCCAAGTTTGGATGGGGACCTGGACACCCGGGATAGGAGAGTGGTGGGTTAGTCCTGCTTGTGCCTGGGGTACAAGCGGGGCGTGTGTTTTCGGGGCACCCAGCTAGGCACATTGACTCGCGAATCGCCGGGCGACCCGGTATGGCTTGTCTGTGGTTTAGCACCGTAGTAAGAACTGAAAGTGGAGAAAGGAGAAGAAATATAACTGATTGCTCAACCCTTGCTTGAAAGTAGACAGGTGCTTATATAGACTGGCTAGCTGATAACTTAATATGGCTGATAAAATAATAATACATAAATAAGGACTCACTATTAGTATTGCTTTCTGCTAAAGAAAACCAGTGAACCATAAAGCCTATCATATTCCTTGGAGTCGGGAAATTATTCCCACTACTCGGGTAAGTCTTGCGAGTACATTGTGTACTCAGGGTTTATTTACCCCTGTTGCAGGTGATGCTTGAAGAGTACCTTGTGTGGAGGATCCTTCTGGTGGGCTCAGACGGAATCCTCGCCCCTACCGCTAGATGTTATTTTTAAATTCCGTTGTCTATCATTCCGAACTCTGGTATTTGGTATTGTAATAATATACTTTTTAAGAAACTCTAAGGTATGAAATGTACTTGTGTTGTAACTCGTTCTCATTATTGGATCCTTGGGGAAAATGTGGATCTTTCGGGTTCTCCCTCGGGATGTGCCCGACGGACACCACTCGATGTAGCTTGCTTTAGGGGTGCTTAGTGTCTGGTGGAAGACGAGCGCCTCCGTAAGTGCGCTATTTCAAGCGGTTCTGCCACATCCCTCCTCCCGCCGGCGGTCGGCCCCTCCCCTCCTGTCCTCCCGCCGGCAGTCGGCCCCATCCCCTCCCCTCCTTGCCCCGCGCCACCCCGGATCCGCCGCCTCTCTCCTCTCATCGGCGCCGCCCCGGATCCGCCGCCTCCCTCCTCCGCATGGCAGATGGCGCATCGGCCTCCTCCGCGTGCAGCCCCATGATGGCAGCCAGGCGGATGGCGTGTCCGCCTCTGTTCTATCCGCCTCGAATTCGAGCGACGGCGACGACGGGAAGGGAGATGGAGGTGGCTGGAGGCGATGGGAGGTGGTGCGTGGTGACTAGCGGCCACGGGTTCACCGCGAGGCATCTGGTGATGATGCTGCTCTGCTCCGACGAGTGGTGGGTGCTCGTGGCCGACCTAGCCCATGCCATCACGCTCGACCGTGAAGAAGAAGAGGGTTTCCTGGGTGCTGCTCTCCGCGAAGGCTAGGCCGTCTACGCCTCCGCCGACCTCCGCGATAAGGCCCAGGTCGCCAGAGGTGTATGGTCTCCCATTTTGTTTTTCCTTCCCTGGTTGTTAGACAGGGTAGGATCTGTAGGTGATGCGGCAGCGGTACCCTTTTGGTTTTGTGTGGGTGTGGGATCGGAAGATCCCTTCTATTGGCTCTTGGGGTCTGCTTAAGAAATCGGATGAACTAGTGATGCTGGACATTGGGGACGCATAATTTGGTTCGCAATATTGCTAGGATCTGCATTATATAATCTTCACTTAGTTCCATATGATTAGGCTAATTTTAGGTAAACGCCTAGGTACATACTTGCATTGATAGATACTATAGTGCTCATCCCATTTTTTCGGAACTTCCTATTAGCTTCACATTGTATACATTTCTGGGTATGAGTTCTGTCTAGTTTGTCTAGTGGCCTAGTGCTTTTATTTCGTCCCAGACAATGCTCCCATGTTGATCTTGATCCTGTTGAAACTATTAAATTAATCCACAAAGGGTTCACTGCTGAAACCAATGAGATAATCCTGAGGGCCAAATTACTTGGAAGCTTTCATGATGAAACAGCCAAAGCATGGTGATTGGTAATGGCCTTCTCAGTTTGCTTTGGTACTTCTCAAATACATGTTTAGCTTGCATATGCCACATTCTTATGTAAATTTGTTTATTTGCTCGGAATTTACATTTTGAAATTCCAGTAGCAGTCCTCAATCTGTTTAGCAGCTTCTTCGTTCCAACTATTTGTTGAAAACCACAACAATAGTAAGTGACATAGCCACAATTAAATCTGAAAGACTGTAGTCCATTCGATGCAATCCTTGCCGTGCGGCCTCAGATGAAACTGCAAGTTTGTTTGGGTTAGTACTTTACTTGTGCTTACTTCACTGTGACCAAATATGTCCTACTGCCTTTGCTTTTCAATTTGTTTGTCTGGATCTCACCGTTCCCTGTTTGTTTTACCTTTAGGAAAGGATGCAATAGTGAGGCACCACGACCTTGTCGTGCTGCTGGAGTGAGAACAATCACAAGACAGCTAAGCCCTGCAATAATCCAACACATGAACAACGTTTACCCTGAATGCAAAGGATCAGGTATGCTGCTGTTATTATATCTTTCATCTAAAAATGTTGTTCCATTGAGTTTGTTCTTTAGGCTGTTTAGTGTTCAGGTGACATCATGGGTGACATGGATAAATGCCCAACCCTTTCCTTGCAATAGAACATATCTATTTGCTTATGGATGCTCCTGATAGACTGCATGCCGCTTCTATAATTTATTTATGCTTTTTTTCTCCTTCTATGGTCTGATCAAGCAGATGCCTTGGAAGCTGAAAACAATCAGCTGATCTTGCCTACATCTGTCTTCATATGAAGAAGAGGTATAACATGCAGGTGAATGCATACTCACGTGTTGTGTCTGTTTTTTTTGTGGTACCTGACCATGAAATTTAATTTGTAAGTGCAGTCTGTGGGTCATTGGAACACAGATCAGAAAGGGAAGATGTGAAGCCATCTCATGGATGAGCGAAACATCACAGCTAAACCCCACAAAGTACCAGGTATGCCACACCCATTTTACTCCCGGTGAGTAGCGATCTCTTCCTTCCTGGTAGTCCTGGCTCGCTTGAATGGGGGGACGGATTCCTTTGTTGGAAGCACGAGATTGGTTCCATTCCGAGTCAAATTTGGAACCTCCTTCCTCTCCATTTAGATTTATTGTTTCGGTGTGGATTTGTGTGGCACCGTAGTGTTTGTTGCCACTAATGTTCCAATCCGCCCATCCATGCGTGGCCCTGTTAGAGATTGTAGTATTCCACAAAATATTTTTCGTGCCCAACTGAAAACCACCCCTCTTTGCTGCCCCTTTTGTTTTGTGACACATTCTACCAGGGATCATTTGCTGCAGAGGTTTTGCTTGGGAAGATGGCAAACATACGTGCACTTCTAGCCGGGTAAGATTTTAGATGATTGACGCTGCCGACGAATTTGTGCAAATTTTGATGCTTTTCGAGACAGCTATTTGACGATGTGTAATGTTGATTGCCCACAGCTTGTCGTGGGCAAGGGGTTCCTTAGTAGAGGCGGGCAGATGTGCGTCCACGAGGTATATCATTGTAGACTTTACCTCAAGGGATTGTTCGGTTTTCTACTGTTGTGTTAGTTGTTTGTCACTCCATGGACTTATGCTGCCACCAATTTTAATTCTCGGGTTAACTGATAAATTGTGAACGTGGACCAACACGTGTCTAGCTTACATGCTTTATTTACTTGCAACTGATGATTGTTGGAATATGGTTTTATTTATGAAGTATATTGTTTTTCTGAAGTATGATTTCTTTCCAGGCCATCACTTCTAGCATCTCTGGGCGCACATTACAAGGTAGGGCCAAAATACTAATCCTTTTCATCCATTAACAAGTGAATGCATTATTAGAAGTTAACAAATATAACTTGGAAGTTCTAACTAACAACAAAGAATTTACAATCTATAGATTTAGCATGAGACATGGTACTCCCAATCAAGTTAGCCTAAGCTGTTTCATTCGGTAGAGCTGATGGAGTGTTGTATTGACCAAGTGTGCTCTTGATAGATTGACGTGGTCTGGTTTGAGTACTTGTGACATGGGTTTTTTGTTTGGTGCCATAGGGGGTAGTGTAGTTGTGTCACTTTGCACTACAGAAGGTATATGCTTTCATGAAATTGTTGTGGGCAGCAGTCAGCAGTCAGCAATCATAAAGTGTTGCTAAGTGCTGAAAAATAAGCTTCTTTAATTTCTTTTGGTGGCAATTGGTGATTCTGTGCAGCGGTTATGTTCCTAGCTATTTATTAGAGATTGTTAGTTCTGAATGTATGTATGTATGGTAGCAATTCTGAGGCTGCATCACATGTGCAGCTATGTGCAACTTTGGCTGGAATCAGTAGCTAGTTTGTGTGTTCTTTTGTTAAAAAATTCTTGTTGAAAATGTAATGATCACCAACTTTAGTTGGCTGCTATCTGTTTCTGTCAAGTTCAGTTCGGTCACTCTATGCATTGAATTGGCTTCTTTGTTGGTAGCAGTATGTTCTTTTGCATATGCAGTCCATAGTTATGATACTTCCCATTTTTTAACACATTACAAGAATTGTTGTTTTTGTCCTTTGGAGAAGGTAATTGCAATGCTAGTTTATGTAGCTTGTCAACTGTATTCTCAGTGCTTTTCTGTGCTTTCTTCACAGGATTTCTTACATGAGATGTCACATAAGGACGACAAAATTGATTCCTTAGTTAAAATGGGGTTTCCTGAAGACGAGGCTGCACTGGCTATTACTAGATGCGGTGTGCTCTCTGAACCTTTGTTCCATGCTCCTCTATTTGCCTTTAGATTTATTCTATAGTAGTTCAGAGAGCAAACTGAACCTTTCTATAGTAGATCGAGGACTCGCATCCGGATCCCGTGATTTCTTCCGGGTCACGGCGCACGTTGGTCAGACTCGGACCTTCTCTTCCGTCTTGTTTGGCAAAAAGCACATACAATAGGCAGCTGGTGGAGCGCTGCCAAACAAACCTATAATTAGAGTAAGTTTGATCAGTCTACTGGATATCTAGTTTGACCTATGGAAACAGCACTAACAGGCCATAAGGACTGACTTTAAAATCAAAATGGGTTGACAGAGCTAAAACACAACCTAGAGCTAAAACTTGTTGATCTAATAAGTTGGACCGACTCAATCATTACATACAAACTTTTATGTAATTATTAGCATCCAAAATGTCCTTTACTCTTTTTGGGTGCCAATTTGCCATCGGGAAGACTAAGACTGACTAAATGTTGACTTAGTTCAAATAGTGACTTACCTGTGCTTCTCTTTTATCGTTCGATGGAGCAATCAAACGAGTAGTTACTGGTGATCGAGATTACATCGCGGTGGCCAACTGCATTTCCCTTGTCCAATAGGACTCCTCCACTGGTGCACAAGATAAGGTAGGAGCCTGAGCCTCGCAGCTCTCGAACGTTCCTGTTCCAGCCCCTACACGCACCAAAGTTGGAAGAGCATGCCTCCAGCATTAACCTCTGTCTTGGACACCTACTGGAGTGTACAAAGGAGCAGGTTTTTGGAGAGCGTATACGTGATTGCTTGTGTTCTCGGTGACAGGAAAATATGCTTCCTAGCAGCAGTGAACGTCTATTTCTTGACGACATTTAGGTGAGTGAACTACTATTTGCTCTCTGAACTACTATAGAAAGGTTCAGTTTGCTCTCTGAACTACTATAGAATAAATCAGTCTCGTCTACTATAGAACCTTTCTAAATCAGTTTCCTGAAGACGAGGCTGCACTGGCTATTACTTGACGTCTGTTTGCTCTCTGAACTACTATAGAATAAATCAGTTGAATAATAGCATTGCCATTTTTAATTTTATGTCAAACTTTCTATTGGTTTATCTCTGGATTTTGAGAATTTTCCTCAAATACTGTATGTTGGAACTCGTAAATGGGCTGCAATCTTGAACTGAGATAACTTGGAATGGTTGATTCTTGCTGTCAAATAAAACTGTTTTTGCATTTTCATGCAACTTGTACCACTCAGATTCTGTCCTTGTCCCTGTTTTTATTTTAACTTATCTTCAGAGATTTATTATTCGAACTTGTCAAAGTATGCTCCAAATGCCTCTGTTCACTGATCATGCACTGTCGTCTGTGGTTTAAAATTACTCAGGGCTGGATGCATCTATTTATGTTCTGGTGGATTCAATATATGCTTCATAGACCGCAGGAGATGGTTACTGTGGCAATTTGTCTGACTATGAGGTTCGTCTTAGGTGAACTGTCCATACAAGTCTGCAATAAGATTTAGTTCTAATTTAATGGTCTGATAATGGAACTGTGTTTGCAATACTGCAGGATAATTCCTATGGAGGGATAAACAAGGGAAGGTTCATGGATGGGAACAAAAAAAAGAGAAGATATGGAGGTCAAGCACAGGGAAGTAGAGGCCCATTAGATGGTAGCGCTGGTGAACCCATGCCGCTCCCAAATCCAATGGTTGGATTTAGCTTGCCAGATCAGTGGCCAAGACCAGTGAACAGAGATCTACCTTCACAAGCTATGGGTCCACCATACTTCTACTACGAGAATGTTGCTCTTGCTCCAAAAGGTGTCTGGACTATCATATCAAGATTCTTGTATGATATTCGGCCGGAGTTTGTGGACTCGAAGTACTTCTGTGCTGCTACCAGGAAAAGAGGTTATATACACAATTTGCCACTTGAGAACAGGTCACCTCTCCTCCCTAAACCTCCAAGGACAATATCCGCAGCATCAGTACTCTAAACTGTATTACTTTAGATACAAGTAAAACAAGTAGTACCATCAATACCATGTGTAATATAAATATGCATGAGCTCTTTGGAAACATCAGCATGTGTAATATACTTATATATGTGTAGGCGCGCGATGGCGCGCCATTCACTAGTGTATGTTTGTTCTTAGTTGTGTAGTGACATTTGTATTATTGTGGACAATTGTTGATGGATTAATTTTTATTTTTTAACCATTTAAAATTGTCTCGTTGGACTGTCTGTCGCTAAAACCATATGTACCATCGCACAGTCTGTCGCTAAAAAGTAGCAATGGACTATCTGTCGCTAAAAAGTAGCAATGGACTATCTGTCGCTATAAATATTCAGGGCAGCAGACTGTCTGACGCTAAAAGTACTGTCTGACGCTAAAGATTTTTAGCGACAGGACTTACAGCGTCTGCAGAAGTCTGACGCTATAACTTTTTAGCGTCAGATTGTTTGTCGATGTAGCCGCTTTTAGCGTCAGACCGTCCATCGCTAATCTTGGTGTTGTGGTGTAGTGACTTCCCAAGGCCAAGCCCAAGGTATGTAAACTACACTGGACTTGCAATACCTGTCCAAGTATTTCTTTGGTCGTGTTAGTGTGGCGACTAAAGAAACTAAATTGTAACAGTCTAAAGCAACTCAAACTTCACGTGCCAAAATAAACCTGAAAGGTGTCTAAAATTCTATTGTGACGGTTATTAATTTGTCCTACAGGACGGCCCAGCTGAGTTAGGGAGTAAAATTTCATAGAGTTCATTATTATCATGAACTCTGAACTTGTGGAGCCCTTTTCTATTATATGAACATACAAATGGAACACCAAATGCATGTTGACATGATGCTATTATTTGGCCACAGTAGTTATGAATGCAGAAATTTGAAATTTACAAATTAAGCTTTCTAATTTCCACAGTTCCTGCAGAACTCCCATATTCTGTATCTTTTATTTTTTTTCATCCATGTTAGTTTCTTCACTCTTCTATAGGAGGCTTTGAATCCTCCTGTGCACTCCAATGTGGCACTACGACCAACATGAGTCTTTGAGGACCAACAGGAAGCGCTCAAAGCCTCCGAAAAAGGGTCAGCCTGAGGGTGCCCTATCTGACTATGGGGACAATATCAACTTGGCTGTGTTCTCATCGCTCCAGGGGGAGCCTCACAATCACCAGATTGCTGCTCTAGCTGTAGCCTTGAAACAAGCCATGTCACCTGTATTCAAGGCCTATATCCAGCACGTCAAGGCAAATGCAGTTGCCCTTGGTAACCATTTGATGGGTAAGGGCTACAAGTTGGTTACTGATGGTGATGGAACAGAGAACCACCTTGTTCTCCGGGATTTCCATCCTCTTGGCTTGACTGGTATGCATAACATGAAGGTTATTCCATCTCCCAGATAGCATAGCATGATCCAAATCCCTTGCTCTACTCATTGGTTTCTTGCCACTAGAGTGTTCTTGCCCTGTAGACAGAATGGATGACACCGGAATTTCTTTGTTGTGAGCCATTCAAGGTCTGTGATGTAGCCATTTATAGTGTCACAATACTTATGTGGTCTATCTTAGGTGCTTTATTTCCTACATTTAATAATCTATATAATTTAATTAGATTATGTCAGACTGGATTATTTGTTCTAATTTCTTAGATTTTGTATTTTTATTTGTCTTGGTGTTTATTTTGTAGAGAAAGCAAGAAGTGATAGCTACTTCATTAGAAAGGTGAAAACATCCTGACCAGGAAAGTTCTTGTGTCACCAGATCAAGAGGTAAACCGCCGATGCCTTCTTTTGTTCTTTGTCACACCACCATGATTATTACAACAAATAATTTACCAGGCATAGAAGCAGATGAATACTCTATACTATACTGTGAACTTGTTTTCTTTATCAGAAATGTACCTATATAGTTCTAAGCTGCCCTTAAAATAAAAAGGAATAAAGAAATATATCAGTTATTTTGATTCTCTGGTAACTGAAATAGGCATCATAGCTTTTTGATAGGAAAAGTTGATGTTTGTTTGCAGGTGTGGTCTGTAAGCTTCAGCTGACTCTTGAGTAAATTGATAGAATTATGATGCAGCAGTGGGGATATTTAGGGGATAGTTCTTCGAAAACTTCAGAAGCAAACCATTTCAGAGTGATCATTATGCAAAACCCCTAACGAAAAGACAGAACAAAGTAATATATGTCCCTTGGGGTATTGATTTGTCATATGTAACTTTTGTGATAAACTTTTATTAATATTTATATCCTGTAGTGAAAGAGTATAGACTTGTCGATTGTGCAGGTTTATAATTTTTACAGGCATGTAACTTTGCTTCTTTTGAAAGCAGTGTTTATATGCATCTAAAATGGAGTGATTGTAATAATACATCATACCGAAGCATAGTAACTTTATCTAATTATGGATCTATGTTTCAGGTTCATGAATGAATCTATTTGTATGAGAAATGTGCACAATGATGTTACTTTTGTATTAATTTGCAACCAAATGGCCTTTTATTTTTTTTAAATGCATTTAAATGATCTCGTCAAACCATCAGTCGCTAAAAACATTTGTAACTTCAAATTGTCTGTCTCTATAGAGTACTGGCAGGCTATCTGTCGCTAAAGAGTAGCAGCAGACTATCTGTCGCTAAAAAAAATTCAGGGCAACGGACTGTCTGACGCTAAAAGTACTATCTGACCCTAAAGATTTTTAGCGACATGACTTACAGTGTCTGCAGAAGTCTGTCGCTATAACTTTTTAGCGTCAGATTGTCTATCGCTGTAGCCGCTTTTAGCGTCAGACCGTCCATCGCTAATCTTGGTGTAGTGGTGGTGGCAGCGGGCGTGGTGGTGTGGTGGTGGCGGCCTAGTGGCGACGGCGATGGGGCGAGCCGCGGGTGGGCGGCGTTGGGTTTTTTATATTTTTTGAAATATTTTTTGCCGAGTGTCGGGTTTAGCACTCGGCAACATCTTTACCGAGTGCTCGACAAAAAACACTCGGAGTCTGTGTTTGCCAAGTGCAGTTTGCCGAGTGCAACACTCGACAAAGACTTTGCCGAGTGTTTTTTTGCCTTCGCTATGTGCCCACGGCACACGGCAAACCTATGCATTCTGGTAGTGAACAACAGGAAGGTGCTTTATGCACCTGAAGACTAGGGCACCGTACGAGTTGTATGAGAACCTTATAATCTTTTGCTTGTAGTATATGGACCATGGAGTATGCATGTAATGAAACATCTATAAGACTTGTAGTGTAATTTATTTCATCTTGGTACCAGCTGCAGTGCGTGCGAACATTAAATTTCTAGTAGATCATTCATAAATATTTGAACCGTGCATTGTACTATACTTTGATTTTGATATGTAAGTTTAAGTGGTCTGCTTTACCTCTTTTGACAAGCTTCATGTCTAGAGGATTGTAATGTTGACATGCTGAATACTAGAAATCATTAATATTAATTTAAATGACCCCCATCTAGTTAAAAAATGAATTCTAAATCTGATTGGTTTTGATGGAAAAGAGATACTACTTGGGTTTTAGTATGTGTCCTTTCTGCATTCTTGCCAGTCTATTTGAACTTTGAAATATACAGTAACTTCGAAAGGGTGTTGCACATGGTAGCAGAAATATTGATGAGTCAGGACACAAGATTTGAGTTTTTTATATTGCTTCCAATGTAACCCAAGTCCCGATGGCAATCGAACATATTGCTAGAAGGCTCCCTGAAGATTTAGTAATTTTATTTAAACAGGAAGAAAAACATTATTCTAGCACAGAACATTATTCTGCAATCTATCGTTACATTTGGGTGACATATCTCAAGGTATCCAGTCAATCTGATAATAATCTTAGGGATGCATCTCTTATCTGATGGAAGAATCTCAGTTTATTTTCCAAAGAATTGATCCTTACTTTACGCACAAATTACATGCTCATCAGGTTGTACTTTTGAGCAGACACAAAATGGAAATCCATGGGACTCTATTTGAATATCCATGGATAAAGTACAAACCCATGATGATTTTAATTTGTACGAAGTGAGGGCCCAACAACAAAAAGTAAAATGGCGAATGCCTATCAAACCTTGACTATTAATACTCATCAAAAAGGAAAAACTTGATACACGAGCTAAGTTTGAATTAGATGGATGAAATGACCATGACCCCTTTGATGTATAAGAGATCTTTCTATGGAAGGTGGCTAGCCACCACCCTTGACATAAGATCACTCATGATATGGAACATGGTCAGCCGGCCATGCATCCCTAGACCATAAAACCCTCGACATAGTAGCAATTAATAGTATTACAACTTTACATGCTCCTACTAGCTAGTAATGGAATGACGATAACAAGAGCTATATCGAACAACCGTTTATGCCTGGCCACGCTGGCTTGACTAGACATGCTAGCATGCGGGCCATCTATAAGATGGGAGGGCCTAGGGGCTTGCAAAGGTGTGGGCATAGGCTAGATAGCCATGGGAGGAGAGCGAGAAGATCGGAGGATGTGACAGGGGACAGTGTGGGTGCAAGCATATGGTTTGTGACTTCAATACCTTCAAGGGCCATCGGGAGGTGGGGTAGCAGGCTGGAAAGAAAGAAGGGATAGGATGTGGAGGGGTGGTGAGGATGAGGGGTAAAAAGTTAATAGATAAAACAATGTATCCACATACAAATGCATATGCACAAGCATGGGTAATCAGGCCACCGTGGCGATTTGTTAGAAAAATTAACAGCCAAACAAAACCATCACGGGTCATTTGAACACTATTAGATACTTTAGGGCCTATAATATTGAGTTTTATAGTTGAGTGTGTTATCACTGGTAGAGAACCGAGCTTTACTCCCGGTGGGGAACCCCCTCTAGTCCCGGTTCCCCACCCGGGAGCAAGCATCCGGGACTAAAGGGGGGGTCATTTAGTCCCGGGTCAGGAACCGGGACTAGTGAGGACCTTTAGTCCCGGTGGGTAACACCAACCGGGACTAAAGGTGCCTCCCGACATGCCACGATGGTTTAAGACCTTTAGTCCCGGTTAGTAATACTGAACCGACTAAAGGTTTTTTCTTTTTCTTTTCTTTTCATTTTTTGTTTTCTTTTCAAAATAGGTTTTCGAAGTCGATTGTACGCTGCTAATTATACATTTATACGCCGCATATAGTATGTTTCGTTCAAGCACAATGAACGTATTAAATCACACAATTCAAGCATAGAAATATATATATATATATATATATATATATATATATATATATATATATATATATGAATGCATGCATCATATATATATTTACATGCATGCATGCATATGTGTATTTTTACATTATATTATTTCATGTGCATATATTACAAAAGATTGCATTACAGCTTGTTGTGACATAACAAGTTTCCTCTCATCCTCTAGCTTGGCTTCAATGGCGGTGTTGGGTCAAGTAGAACTCGCCCTTGGAATCGATGACTTGCTCATTAAAAAATCCGCTATAGACTCTTGAATTGCTTTGATTTGGTCTTGCCGTATGACCTTTTCCTCCAACCATCGAGTCTACAGTGTTTGAATTAAAGGAAAATAAATTAATATATGTACATATATATATATATAAAGACATAGTAACACAATCAATAATAATAATTAAATGAATATATAGTGTATTTTTAACGATTTTTGAGTCTCTCTCAGAGGAGTTCTTTGGGAGAGCACCTTGATAAACTTGCAAACATAGTAACCACAGTAGTTGTTCCCCTGTTCTCGCCTTAGACACCACTTTACGAGAAAAAAAGATTTGTCATCCAATCTGGTGATCCGTGAAAGCTATATGTTTAATTAATAAAGATGATGCGATTCTGGGGACTTACTTTCAAAGGGATTACATTCAAGTGGCGCTTTGCATTTTTCCATGTGTTGCTTCTCAATAAAGGTTTTCCAAACACCGCCTAATAAAAAATTTGCCACGCCATCGATATAGTTAATCATCATGTTTGTGTGTATATATAGTTGTTAGAGATCCCGAAATTACCTCTGGATAATATCTATCATATCTTGGTAGTCTTGTTGTGGTTTTCATCGAGTCATAGATTATCAAGTGACTTTTCACCGGATCGATGTCCATCAATATCCAAAGGATTGCTGCATGTGTTTATAGGATATAACGATAACACTCATTAATTAACTAGAATCAACATATGAGCCATTAAGGATATGATCGACATGATTAACACTCACTTGAAGTTATAGGGAAAGAGTATATCCTTCTTGTGGTGTTAGTTCACTAAGAAGTTCATGAGGTTACTCTCTGACTTAGACTTCCAATTAGTCTTTGGAGTAATTGGGTCTTTGAATACTATATGGGGATCAACAAAACCAATTTCATTGCAGCCTTCCTTTCTCGAGCTCTGTCATTGTAAATCTGCATATATATAGTACTTGTTAGGATAATTTATATGCATATACACACATATGATGAGTTTAATAATAGATCGAAAGAATTATTACTTACGGTGCAATAGCACCTAATGATAACTTTGTCCGTAGAGGTCGTGGCATAGTTGATGAAATTCGCAAAGTCAACATACATAACATCATCGCCACGGAACCAATGTTCGCCTCTCTAATTCGACACCAACGCAGAAGTCTCCATCGGTAGACGCTGCATGTACCACTTGTTTAGCGGTGTACATTTATGTCCCCGCATCGAGATAAGGCTTGAGGGTTGTATAGACTCGCCTAGTACAAATTTTTTCTTCCAAATAT